CTCTCTCTCTCTCTCTCTCTCTCTCTCTCTCTCTCTCTCTCTCTCTCATGACCCAGAGGAAATGTCATGCACTGTCATGAAGTCACTGTCTTCATGGGGGCCTTACTGCTCTACTTCACAGCACACCCTGGGTACTCACAGAACCTGGGGTGACCCACCTACTGAACCAACATTTCATCTAGAAACACTCTTGAGTACTCATACACACTTTAACTCAGAACCTCAGACTAGGGCAGTAGCTCTCCACAAAGGGCAAAGGAGCCCCTAGGGAACATTTGGTACTGTAGAGAGACATTCCAATTGCCAGACTGCCTATGCCAAGGTCAAGCCTTTCCCACCCCTTGACCTGTGCACTTGGGGGGTGTGTATGGTATATGAATGTGGGCCTGGAGGACAGAGGTCAACTTTGGGTATTTACCACGATCACCTCCACCTTATTTTCTTGGGGTCACTCACTAAACCCGGAGCTCATCTGTTCTAGACTGGCTGGCTAATGAGCTCCAGGATCCTCCTGTCTCCACCTGCTGCCCCTCTGAGCAATGGGCTTACAGATACATCACCATGTCCGATATTTACATGGAAACTGGGGATCCAAACTCAGGCCCTCATATTTGCACAGCCAGCACTTCACCCACCGGGTCAGCTCCCTAGCCACAAAACAGTGTCTTTATTCCCATCTCGCCTCATTTCCACTCCCGCCTGCTGACGGGAGGTATGAGTCACTTCACATCCCAGGTCTTTGTTTTAGTGGCAGGGTCCTGCTATGTAGTCCAGGCTAGCCTCAGACTCACATTACCTGGGCCTCCATCTCCCAACAGTACCACGCCCAGCTCCTGGCCTATGTCTCAGTGGTTGGACTTTCTGCAGAGGAGGAAACTCCCAGCTTGGGGGAGCAGCACCACACAGTGCCCAGGGACCTTAGACACCTTGACGCACCTCTTCCTCCTGCTGGAGCTCTTCCACAACAGACAGACAGACAGACAGACACATACACACACACACACACACACACACACACACACACACACACAGCGGGTCAGGTTGTATGGCAAATGCTGCACATAAAATAAAACAAATCTAAAAAAAATTTTTTTTTAATAAAATAAAACTTAAAGTATAGCTCAGTGGTAGAGTAAGTGTCTAGCATGTACAGGATCCTGGGTTCAATACTCAAGAAAGGGGGTGGAGGATGGTTTAACACCAAAAAACATTGTTATAAAAAACCTACTCTTGGCCAGGTGGTGATGGCACACGCCTTTAATCCCAGCACTTGACAAGCAGATCTCTGTAAGTCTGAGGCCAGCCAGCTCTACAAAATGAGTTCCAAGACAGCCAGGACTATTACACAGAGAAACTCTGTCTCAAAAAAAAAAAAAAAGCAAAGCAAAGCAAACAAAAAAGCCCTACCCTCAAGATGAAAGACTGCTTACCACCAAAAAGCTGTGTACAGGCTAGTACTGTGACAAACAGTGACTCGGTCAGCAAACCAACGCACACAAACATTGTCCACTTTGCCGGGCAGGGCATGAGCCTCACCAGGGCTCCCAGAGCAAATGAAGCTCCTGGCTCATCACAGAACAGCTCCAGAGAAGAGGGGAGATGGAGGGGGTGGAGGGGGGGGAGCAAAGAAGCCCAGTCCAGAGCAGCCTGGCATGGTCACTGGTGCACTGACAGACCAAGCAAAGCTGAAACATCACTGTCTTCCTTGAACCCAGAAGCCCGAACCCCAACTGGAGCTCTTCCTTCAGGAGACCTGGTCCTTTTGCAATGGTATCCACTGGAGCATTCTGAGGAATTAGAATGGGGTGAAACAGGACTACAAATCACAATAAACTTCTGTCAGCAAAAGTCACCCTCTGTTGTACATGCCTTTATTCCCAGTACTTGGGGAGCAAAGACGGGCAGATCTCAGTGTGTTCAAAGCCAGCCTGGTCTACATAGTGAGTTCCAGGACAGCTAGGACTACACAGTGAGACCCTGTCTCAAAAATCCAGCTCAAGGCCTAGCTCATGCTGACCCACCCACTACCCAAAGCTTGAGCTGGCCCCACCAGGTCAGATGTGTGCTCAAAGCCCCACGAAGCAGGCCACTCACCTGCATGTTCTTCTCATACTGCAGCTGCAGGGACCCTGGGGCGGAGGTGGACACGTCCAGGCCTGAACCTCCCTCCACTCGCTGAGAAATGAAGCTGTTCAGAGACCTCAAGGTGGACAGGACTGTGGTGTTCTCCCCCAGGTCTTCCATGGCCACGTTTCTTCCGGGAGACAAAGCAAAAGTCAGAGCCAGCCTTCCTGTAATGTTGTCTGTTGGCACAGCCCACCCCCCTAGGACCACTGTGGAGTCAACCACCATGTTTTCAATGTTAACCTGGAGCCAATACTGCCAACGCTGCAGAGAGAAAATGAGGCACCAAAGCAATGCCACACAGTATGTCTGTGTCAGCAGGTAGAGGCCAGAGGATCAGCACAGGAGCAGGAGGCTAGCTTGAGCAACATGAGACTCTGCTTTGAAGAAAGAAAGGGAAAAAAAGGAACCGGGTATGGCTCATAGTCGTTAATCCCAACACTCACTCAGACAGAAGCAGGAAGATTTCTGAGTTCAAGGCCAGCCTGATATACACAGCCAAGTTCCAGCTCTGTCAGGTCTGCAGAGAGAGAGATACCCTATCTCCAAAAAAGGGGAGGAGGTGGTAAAAGAGGGCTCATTGTTTAAGAATGTTTATTGCTCTTACAGAGGACCCAAGTTCAGCTCCCAGAACCCACATCAGGCTGATAACTGCCTGTAATTCCAGTTCCAGGGCATCCAGTGTCTTCAGGCCTCCCTAAGCACTGCACTCATGTGCAGACACATGCACAATTTGAAATAAAAAATAAACTTAATAACAGGGAGAGTGAGATGGCTCAGTGGGTAAAAGCAGTAGCAACCGACACTCGATAACCTGAGCTCCATGCCCAGAGCCCACAGAAGGGCAGCGTCATGGTTCTTCACTCATACCATGGCACCCATGCGCCTGCAGTAGAAAGACATGGTGTGAAATCTGGACATAGTGGCCAGTTTCTGTAATCCCAGCATTCCTACTGCAAAATGTGAGATGAGACAAAAGCATCCTCCAGTGCTCACACCACACACATACACACATACACACACCACACAGATTGCAAAACGTCATGCCACAATCCCAAGCCACCACCTGAGGGCTCATCTGCACACCAGACAGGCAGACAGACATTCAGCTCCTGCAAGGAGGTGCTCAGAGATATAGGGACACACCTCCCAAAGCCACACTCACCACAAATGTGGCCTCTGGGAATCAGAAACAAACACTTAACAATCAGGTGATGGTGGCCCCAGCAATGCTGTTACCAGCAATGTTGCTCAATGTTCCCACTGGGGCTCACATAAAGGGAGGTCCTACAGGTTCCTAGCGCCTATACTTAACTAAGCTTCACCCATAAACCCCCTTGGGTGATAGCCCACCTTGGAAGGGAACCGGAAGGGCCATGCTGGAAGGTGCCGCTGTTGACACACACTGGGCACCTCCAACCGCTGTACATTAACACACACAAGCTCACAGCACGTCGGCCAAGCCAGGCTTCTTGCAGAGTGCTTTTTTTTTTTTTTTTTTCTTTTTTTTTTTTTAACTTTTAAAGTTTCTAGAGAGATTTTGTGTGAGAGCCTGTTTTGTGTCAAGAAAAGCTCTCTCTATAACCCTAGTTGACCTGGAAATCCCTGTACAGAACAGGCTGGCCTCAAACTCGGAGTACTTGCATTAAAGGTATACACTACCACTCCAGGCTCCTCTTTTTTAAGACCTGGTCCTGCTCTCTGGCCCCGGGTGGCCTGACACTGTGCTTTCAATCTACAGGAGTCATGCTGCTGCACAGCCCCCTAAAGCACGGCTTCAAACTTCACCCCAACTTTCCAGACCCGGGGTGAGGAGCATGGAGGACAGACAGGACACCAACTATCCTGGCTAGCCTGTGAGCTGAGAGTCAGGCGAACTGTCCTTTGCCCCTAGCCAAGTCACAGCTGGGCAAACCAAAGGAGGAAGAGTATGGCCTAGTGCCACAGGCCTGTCATCCCAGACACTCAGGCATGAGCACAAGTTCAAGGCTCAGTTACGCAGGTTAGTAAGACCTGGTCTCAGAGGGCTGGGGATGCAGTGCAGTGCTAGCGTGTTTGCCCAACATGCTTGAAGCCCTCGTTATGGCTCAAATGGGGTGGGGGGAGCAACCAGTGGCCATCCCAATACCCGGCCGTGCTGGTGTCTTTCAGGTCCAGCGTGCTCAGGGTGAAGAAACAAGACAAGGAGCAGGAGGCTGAGCGGTAGCACAGGTTTATTATGTTATTATGAGGGTATCTATGGAGAGGGTCTCCCATAAAGACTAGAGCTGGACTGGGGAGAGCATTTCTTCAACCTAGGTTTTTATAGATGTCTTACTCAAGTGCAAACCTCTAGTTTATGAATCAGCTGTGTGTCTCTTTGACTAAGTAAACGTGAATTAGACCCTGGGGCTGGAGGGTGGTCTGAAATGTGAAGCATCTTATAGACTTCACCCACTCCCTTTCTGTAGCCAAACCTTGGATTTGTACTTTTGTTCTAAGTGCTAACATCTTCCTCTTCCACCTGGATTGACTCTAACATATGAAAAGGGAAGCCCCTAAACACCAAAAAAAGAGAAAGAAATGCTTTATAAAAAAAGTGGGGGTGCAGGCAGGCCACTGATGGGGGAGCCATGGTGGTTGATTGGTGCTAGATGGGGTGTCACTGCGGGAAGGCCTGTGGTACCCCACCTGCCAGACCCACCAAAGGAAGAGGTTTCTGATATTGGGGAGTAATGAGTTTAATCTTTGGGAGGCAAAACAGGTTAGTCCGTGTAGTGGGACTGAACGGCTGAGGGACTGGGCAGGACAGACATTTCTGCTACAAGTCTGTTAAAGAGACAGGGACCAAAGGTGAGGAGGAGCCCTGGGATCAGAACCAACGCTCCAGCCAACACCTCAGAGAATACTGTACCCATGTGTGCTCGCACTTTGTTGTCAAGGTCCCAAGACTCGGCCTTGGAGTTTCTGGAGGAATCTGTACCAGAGCTTTCAGAAGTATGACATGCAGGTGACGCTGAGGACATGGTGGAGACACCGAGGCCCATAAGAGGGCAAATCAGAGATATGAGCCAGAGAGAATGGAGGCTAGGAGAGGAAGAAACTCCATGCTGGGATAGAGAATTCAGACCTCCCAATGGGGAGGTGGACATAGTACCATACCCACAGAGAAAGAAGACTCCCAGAGAAGTGATACCAAAGGTCAGTCACTTAAAAAAAAAAAAAAAAAAAAAAAAAGAAGCTGGACAGATGGCTCAGAGGTTAAGAGCACTGGCTGCTCTTCCAGAGGTCCTGAGTTCAATTCCCAGCAATAACATGGTGGCTCACGACCATCTGTAATGAGATCTGGTGCCCTCTTCTGGTCTGCAGGCATACATGCAGGCAGAACACTGTATATATAACAAAGCTTTATTTTTTTAAAAACAGGTAGAAAGGAAGAAAAATATTTGGAGTAATGTCCCAGCTGTCTAGAACTGTCACCTCATTTTCCCATACTGAGTATTTACCAGTAGGATAGCACTGGCAAGACGCTGATAGGTTCCCACTGTGGCCAGCTGGGAGTATCCCCAATGAGCAAAGAGGTGGGGAGTGCAGAAGGAGAGACACGTGAGATGGGTGTGATGGGGCACACCTTTAATCCCAGCAGTGATCTGCAGAGTGAGTTCTAGGACAGCCAAGGTTACATAAAGTGAGCCTGTCTCAAAAAACCAAATTAAAAAATAGAGAGAGAGAGGCTAGACATGGTGGCACACGTCTTTAATCTCAGCACTTATGAGTTCGAGGCCAGCCTGGTCTACAGAGCTAGTTCCAGGAAAGCCACGACTGCACAGAGAAACTCTGCCTTGAAAAATGAAAGGGAGGAAGGGAGGGAGGGAGGGAGGAAGGGAGGGAGGGAGGAAGGGAGGAAAGAGATAAATAAAAGAATAAAAGAGAGCAAGGTTGATGCCAGTGAAGTGAGAGCCAGTTAAGCATCTCCAAGTGCATCCGGGTTGCAAAAGTAGCTGAGGCACTGATGGTGTGAAGTTAAAGGGACATGGGGGACAGTGAGAAAGGGGATTCTTGCACTGTGTATCTGGACATTCAAAGGGGAAAGCTTTCAAAGAGATGCTCTGGTGTTTGCAGAAGAGAATGTGATGGTGACCTTACAGAGAGAAAGAGATCTGGAAGACAGGGAGGGAGGGAGAGAGGGAGGAAGGGAGGGAGGGAGGGAGGGAAGGAGGAAAAGAGCGAGGGAGGGAGAGAGGGAAGCCAGAAGGATCTGGGTGGAAATGTCCAGTCCCACTCCAGCAGGGAAGGTGGGTTAGAGCCAGAAGAGGCTTAAGTGGCTGAACTGGAGACAGACAGCACAGCTCACCTACGGGCTTTCTGAAGGAAGCCAGTAGCAGCTAGAGAAAGGGAGAGCCTGAGGCTCTTTTCAGATCAGTAGCAGGCTGGGCCAGGGAGGGAGTAGGTGCATGGAGATGTATGTGTTGATCCAGGCTGACACAGGGGCCATGACAGCAGGACTGCTGCATTCCCATGGGCCTGCAGGTCCAGGGCACTCGTAAGAGAACCTGGATGAGGGCAACAGGCAGCGTCCAGCTGTCAAACGGAAGCTAGGAGCTAGGAAAGCTGGAAAGCACAGACAAGAGAAGTGCGCCAGGGTTCTTGAGTGGCAAGCACTGACAGGTGGCAACCAGTCAGGTGGCGAGACCTAGGTACTGTAAGGGTAGAGGGATGCTGCCTCCTGGTTGGGCACGCTTCTTAGTTTGGAATGGTGGAATCAAAATGGAATGGTATAACTCTAATTCAGACAGTGAGGGTTGTGATAATTACCTGGTGTGGGGCTGGAGAAATGGCTTACTGGGTAAAGATGCTTGCCACCAAGCCTGCTGACCTGAGTTTGATCCCCATGACTCACATGGAGAAGGGGAAGAACTGAGTACCACAGCATGACACCTGTGCACCTTGGAAAATTCACACATGAGGGGTGGAATAACAGTGCACAAATTAATCCCAGCACTCAGGAGGCAGAGGCAGGAGGATCTCTGTGAGTTCAAGACCAGTTTGGTCTACAGAGAAGTTCCAGGACAGGCTCCAAAACTACATAGAGAAACCCTGTCTCGAAAAAACAAAAAATAAAATAAAATTTAAAAAAAAAGGGGGGGCTATAGAGTACCCTCACAACAAAAGCAGACAGATTCAGGATTAGGCAACAGGTTGGCCATCCTTTAACTGGCCCTCTATACACACACACACACACACACACACACACACACACACACACACACCAGAACAGAGACAGGACTCTAGGGTGGGTACAGAATATTCTGCTAGGTCTGAAGAAGGCTCTTCATCCAATAAGAACAAAACAGGCTTGCCAGAAACACAATGTTGCCCTGGGTTCAAAAGTCATGGTGGAGATAGGGGCAGCAGACCCCAAGCCTCCTAGGTCTCCTACCAAGAGCCAAGTAATCACATAGGCCCTCTTCTGGAGGTCACCTGCGCTGCCCTAATACTTCCAGTTAGAGTCAGCCCACAGAACACTGACTAGACCACTGACGTTGTGGTCCCCATCCTGAACATGGAGGGAATCTGCATGTGCCCTGGTGGCTTCCCAAAGTCCTTCCCAGTCTTCTGGAAGAGGAAGGAGAGGCTGCCGTAGATGGCATGCCAGGTTAGACTGAAGGACCAGGGAAGGTATTGGGATTCCGTATGAGATGTGGAGGGTTCCGTGGTAAAAGAGCCCAAGCATTTCTCAATCTGAGAAAGGTCCTTGAGAAGAAAGGGAATGTACAACGCACTTGAGAGGCTAAGGCAAGACCATGAGTTTGAAGCTAGCCTTGGTTATACAGCCAGATCCAGGTGACAGAGCCAGAGCTAATCTCAAAAAAAAAAATTAAAAAATAAATAAATAAAAAATAAAAATAAATAAATAAATAAATAAACAGATTTAATTTTTTGAAATTTAGCCTGAGTTTTCCACTTAACTAGAACCTTGGCATTCACCCCAATTACATACATAGCAAAGCTGGTAGACTTCGTGGGCAACAGGCACGGTAGGAAGAAGCAAGCCTCTGCTCTCCAAGATCAAATGAAAGCCGCTTTCTGTCCTCCCTCCTCTGGCTAACTGAGAACTCAGTCACTAACACACTAGTATGAAGGGCAGCAGTGCCAGGAGCTGCCACGCTACACAGGCATCCAAAGCTGTACCCACTCAACAGAAACCCTGAACTGACAGACAGCAGACCCTCCCCAGGACACTAGCTGCTCCAGAGGGCTTCCGAGCTGACAGGTACACAGCTTCTTTCTGGTCTCAGCCCAGGGACAGCCTGGGACCCTGGCACTTGGTGACACAGGTCTGTCACCCCAGGTACTCGGAAGGCTGAGACAAATTCAAGGGCTGATCACGAGTTCAGGCCTGCTTGGGTTACATAGGGAGTTCGAGGCCAGGTTGGAAAACTTGGGAAGACTTAGCACAGAATAAAAAGTAAAAAGAGTGCCAGGCGGTGGGGGCACGGGCCTTTAATCCCAGGACTCAGGAGGCAGAGGCAGGTGGATCTCTGTGAGTTCGAAGCCAGCCTGGTCTATAGAGTGAGTTCCAGGACAGGCTCCAAAGCTACACAGAGAAATCCTGTCTCAAAGGAAAAAAAAAAGTAAGAAGAGGGCTGAGGATGGGGTTGGGTGGGTGACCGCTTAGCATGCACGGAGCCCTAGGTTCACTCCACAGTACTGGGGTTGAGGTTGGGAGGAATGGGGATCACAGTCTGAAATGCACTTTATGTCAAGCAAGACAAATAGGGTTCCATCCCTTCCATATGGTGGAAGGAGAGAACCAACTCCTACAAGTTGTCCTCCTCCACAGGAAACCCTGGAATGTATACTGACACACCTACACACACACGTTAATTAAATCAACTAAAATTTTTAAAAGAACTTAGACATAGCTCAGGGGCAGAGTGCTTGCCCAACATACAGGAGGTCCTATGTTCAATCCCAATACCGCCAAAAATAAACGAATAAATAAAGTGGGCTTGAGATAAGATCCAGCGCTAACAGGGGCTTGCTGTCAAGACTGTCAAGTTGACTTCGATCTCCCAGACCTACAGGGTTGCAAAGAGGTAACCGACTCCGACCCCGGAGCCCTTCAGACCACAGACCACGTCGCCCCCCACCCCCGGTCCAGGCACGCCTCCCCGCGCCCTGCAGCGGGACACAGGAATGGGAGACCAGCCACTCCGGCCCCGGGAGCGCGACACCCGAGACCCTGCACAGGGAAGGCGCGCGACAGGAGCCGACCCCGAGCCGTGTGCATGCACAATCGCGACGGACAGCTCCATCCCATATCTTCGTTGCGTCCCCGGCAGGGCGCGCAGTTATCAGTCACGCAAACCCAGACACTCAGTCACTAACCTCAGCCGAGCAGTCCGGCGCAGCAGCCGACGCTCGGATCTCCCTCCTCTCCGCCGGCGTCTACGTCTCGCGAGACTTCCGCGAAAGTCTCGCGAGATCTGAGAAAGCGGCCCGTAAAGCGTAGAGTATTTGCGTCCACAGGCGTGCCCAGAGGTTGATGCGCCTGAGGACAGGCAGTTCTACATCCCCGGCGTCCTGCCTAGGGACCTGGAACCAAAGCTGAACCAGGGTGTCCCACTGGCCCACAAGGCATTCTTCCACCGCACCTGAGTGCTCAGTAGTGTGTGGAATAGCCCAGCCTGCGGAGGGATCAAATTTTAGGGAAGTTGACGTTTCCCTCAACGTTGCTACTATGTAAACATAGGTTATTTTGTTTTGTCTCGGGCAATGTTTTTGGATTTCGGTTGGTTAACATGTTTCTCTCTCTTTCTTTCCTTTGAAAATGAGAATTCCTGGGAAGAAAATTGTGTCTGCGAAGGCGGATTGATTGATTGACGTCAATGATGGTGCGGGTTCAAGATCCACAGTCTGATGACGATTTGGGATTAGAGGCAGGCGCCCCCAACCGGGAAGTAGTGGCGTGCTCCTTTAATCCCAACACTCAGGAGGCAGGAAGATCTCTGTTGAGTTCGAGCCCAGCCTGGTCTACCAAGCTAATTCCAGGACAGCCGCGGTTGTTAGACAGAGAAACCCTGTCTCAAAAAACTTAATAAATAAAATAAAAATAAACTATCTCTCACCCTCAACACCTGAGAAACAGAATTTTACCCTGTAGCCCAGGCTAGCCTCAACCTCACTGTGTAGCCTCAACCTCACTGTGTAGCCCAGGTGGGCCTGGGACTCCCAGCAATCCATCAGCCTCCTTAGTGCTGCTGAAACTGGTCTGCGTCTTTGGTTACCAGATTCTTGAGACAAAGGACCCCAAGATATTAGAATCCTCCTAAGGATATCTTTCCAGGAGAAGAAAAGACTGAAGGCTTGGGGCAGCCATAGGAAGAACTTATCTCCACAAAAATGATTAGGAGTTTGTCATCTTAGAGCTGAGACAAAGATGGGACTGTTCACACCCAGGCCAGACAGCTTCCGGGTGCCAATCTCTTGCCCTCTGTTTAAAACCCTACGTCAGTGTCAGGCCCCTGAACTGGTTCTTGGAGACAGCCTGGAACTCTGTGTGCTTCTTCCCACTGTGGCCACATTAAATAAATCTCCCTTTTCTGATTTGCTATCAGTCTGGCTCTTTTTAATTATTGAGGACAAGTGGCCAAACCTGGCTGGTTGGGACACAGCCTGGGACAATAAATCTCTTAACACTGGGATGATAAGCATGTGCCACCATGCCCAGCTGGGGTTTGCTGTAGAATAATCTTTTAGTACACTGTGAAAATTTGTCACTCGGATTGGTTTAAAAGCTGAATGGCCAATAGCCAGGGAGGATTTTCAGGGCAGAGAGGACCTTGGGAAGAAGGGGGGAGAGGCAGGGAGTCGCCAAACAGAAAGGAAGCAGCTGGGGAGAGCAGAGTAAAGGTAATAAAGCCACAAGGCAGAAAGTTAATAAAAATGGGTTAAGTTATAAATGCTAATTAGAAACAAGTCTAAGCTATCAAATGAGCTTTTATAAATAATATGAAGTCTCGGAATGATTTTTTGGGGATCTCCTGGTGGGACGGAAAAAGTTTGACTACAGGTGTTCTGTTTGGGTGAGATTTTGGTTTTGTTGTTTGGTTGGTTTTGGTTTTCTTCAAGATGGCCTCACCCTGGCTGTTCTGAAACTCCCTCTGTAGACCAGGATGGCCTCGAATTTACAGATTCTCTTACCTCTGCCTCACTAGTGCTGGGATTAAAGGCATGAGCCACACTAAGCTCAGCCTGAGATTTTTGTTTGTTTCTCATGTTTGTTTGTTAGGCCAGAGTTAAAAAAAAATATTTATTTATTATGTATAAAATATTTTGTCTGTGTGTATGTCTGCAGGCCAGAAGAGGGCACCAGACCTCATTACAGATGGTTGTGAGCCACCATGTGATTGTCAGGAATTGAACTCAGAACCTTTGGAAAAGCAGGCAATACTCTTAACCACTAGCCATCTCACCAGCCCCCTGAAATACTCTTTTTTAAATTCCACAAGGTTTCATTAAGTTCCCCAGCCTAGCCTTGAACTCATGATTATCCTGTCTTAACCTCCCACATCGCTTGTATTACAGGTGTGTCATAACACACACACCCAGCTCTATAGTGTGGGCTTGAAGTACTATAGTCTTGGACTTTTTCCTGTGCCCACTGGAAATCCAAACTGAGCTACCCCAGGGTTTTGCTTGCCAGAAGAGCTCTAGGGCTCCTTCCCTCGATTAGGTCAACCGTAACCGATGGCAGCATTTCTCCCATCCTTGATGATGGACCCTTTTAGGTAACAGTGTAAACAGTGCATCTCTGATGCCAGTGCAGTCTATCTTTTTGCTTTGTTTTTCGGGATAGGGTTTCTCAGTGTAACCCTAACTATCCTGGAACTCTGCCTGGTCAGTGCTGGGATTAAAAGCATGTACCACCACCCCAGGCTTAACAGTGTAATTTTAAGAAAGTTTCCAGAAAGCTATTCTCCCTTCAACTTAACCTTCTTCTGTGCTGATGGACTGATTTGGGGGGAGGTTGGGAGGTGGCAGGTCTGGAGCCTAGCTAAAACTTACTCTGACTGTTCAGCCTCCCTAAACAGTCATTCCCTGCCCACCTCTGTGTCTGACCTAACATCCTGTAACAGATAAAACCTTTGGGATGCATTCCTAAACACCTTTCATATCTGCCAGCTAAAAGGCTAAATACTATCAGGTAACATCTGAGGTGTACAGCCGAGATTTCTCTGCTTGGCTGTAGTCGCCTACTTAATGTTTCCAGCGTGTTTGGGTGGCGGTGGTACACGTCTTTAACCCCAGCACTTGGGAGGCAGAGGCAGGCAGATCTCTGAGTTTGAGGCCAGCCTGGTCTACAGAGTTCCAGGACAGCCAGGGCTACACAGAGAACTGTCTCAAACAAACAAGCAAAGTGCTTTGACCTAGAATTTTCTTCTGTTACTATAAAAACTTAAACTAGTATTCTGCTGGAACATGGGATGTGGCGTGACCGAAATGTGTGTTTCTGAGCCACAGTCACTCAGACTGGGCTCCAGAATAAACTCTCTCTTACCCCCTTTGAGGTGAAAGCCACGTTTGCGTTCTCTCGCTCTGGTGTAGGCGCTCTCCGCTGTGACCCTCCGCAGATCCACTGAGGGAGCCACACAGCAACCGCAGCTGCTTGGCGCCAGAGTATGAGTCCGGCTTCAAACGTCCCGTCTGTTTCAAACACCCAGGGCAGACATTTGTCCATGAAAAGCCTTTGAGAAGGGCTGGAGAGATGGCTCAGCGGTTAAGAGCACCGCCTGCTCTTCCAAAGGTCCTGAGTTCAATTCCCAGCAACCACATGGTGGCTCACAACCATCTGTAATGAGATCTGGTGCCCTCTTCTGACCTGCAGGCAGAGTACTGAGAATACTGTATACATAATGAATAAATAAATCTTTAAAAAAAAAAAAAGAAAGAAAAGAAAAGCCTTTGAGAACTCTGATGGCCATTTGCACCCTTCATAGCACAAGGAACTGCTGACAACGGTGCAGACAAACTGCCGCATTCTCTCTCTGGGTCTACAAAGAGGTGCCACTTTCCATGATTTTTGTTTGTGTTTTGTTTTGAATTTATGTGTGTGGTGTCTGTGCACATTAGTACAGTACCCATGGGGGCCAGAAGAGGGCGTCAGATCCCAAGGGTTCAGGGTTACTAATGGTTGTGAGCTGCCATGTGAGTGCTGAGAACCTGGGTCCTCTGGGGGAATAGCGCTTCACCTCAGATCTATCTCTCCTGCCCCTGTAAGTTTTGGGGTTTTTGTTTTGTTTTGTTCTTTTTTTGACATAGGGTTTCTCTGTATAGCCCTGGCTGTCTTGGAACTCACTCTGTAGACCAGGCCGGTCTCAAACTCAGAAATCCACCTGCCTCTGCCTCCTGAGAGCCGGGATTAAAGACATACGTCACCACCACCCAGCTTTGGTCCCCTCCCTTTTATAGCCTTCAATCGCCATCAGTCTTAATCATAACTCTCTTCAAACACGTCATGAACCAGGTGTGGCAATATCCACTTGCAATCCCAGCCCTTGGGAGATGAGGCAGGAGGATTGTGAGCTCATAGCCAGCTCAGGCTACAGAGTGAAACCCAATCTCAAAAACAAATAATAATAACAAAAAAAAATCCAGAAAGATAAAATCATGATATAGAAGACTGTTTAGTTTTGTTTCCACCACCTAAAAGCAACCTTGGGAGGAAAGGGTTTACTTGACTTCCTCACCCCAGTCTAACCTATCACTGAAGAAAGTCAAGGCGAGTACTCAAGGCAGGAACCTAGAGGCAGTAATTGAAGCAGAGGCCACGGAGGACCCCTGTTTACTAGCTCGTCCTTTGTGTCTTGTTTGCCTTGCTTGCCTTGCTTTCTTACACAACTCAGGACTACCTGCCCAGGGCTGGCGCTGCTCATATTGGGCTGGGCCCTCCTCCTATTGAGCTGGGCCCTCCTCCCACGTCAATCATTAATCAAGAAAAAGGTCTCCTCAGGCCAATCTGAGGGAGGCAGTTCTTCAGTTGGATTCTTTCTTCCCAGAAAGAAACGTTAAATTGACAGAAACCATTTCAATACATCTGCTCATATTGTGGGCATATGTGTGTGTGCCCGTGGGGGCTCGCGGACAACTTCCGGGGGCTCGCTCTCTCCCCCGACTCTCCTGAGTGGAGAGCGCACTCAGGGCATCAGGCTCTGTGGCAGGTACCGTTACTCACCGAGCCACCGTGCTGGCCCCACTTATTTTTCACAAACCTCGAATACATTTTTCATCTCTTTAAAACTCAGAGGTGCCTGGTGGGGTGCTGTCCGCAGTACAGTTCGGATCCCAGCCACTCTCAGGAAAGCACCCCCAGAGGGCAGGGCAGACTCACTGCTCCATGGAGCCCTTCCCTCCCCGATACTGCGTGGCTAAGAGGTACACCTCTGAGGACTCCTTCCTGCTGGCCTCTGGTTTCACGACCTTTGTATTCTGGAATTCCCGGGTCAATCTCTTCTGTAGCAGGTGACTTTTACTTCCGGCCCAGGTTTTACACAGCAGTGTCCCCCCAGGATGCAGGATATCCACAGCCATGTCCACAAGGGTCAGGCACAAGCTGATGAGCCTCTCGTGATCGAGGTCTCGGATCCCAGTGGCGTTGGGTGCCATGTCACTGAGAATCACATCCGCTCTCCTTCTGGGAAGCAGTTCTAAAATTCTTTGGCAAGTTTTGGGGTCAGTCACATCAGCAGGGCATAGGAAAGTTGCTCCTTCCAGAGGGAATATGTGAAGAAGATCAACCCCGAGCACGTAGCCCACAGGAGAGCTGGAGTCTATGGAAGCAACAGAGTCTGTTATTACACCATGAGTCTCCCTACCAAAATATAAGCCAGGCACCAGAACCAAGAAAACCAGTGAACATGCATCTATGTCCCACAAGAGGCCTTTTACTTGAAGACACATAGGGAGACGTGATGGCACAGGCCTATAATCCCAGCACTTGGATGCCTGAGGCAGGGGGATCTTCACAAGTTCAAGGCCAATTTGGGCTACCAAGTGAGATCCTGCCTCTCAAAGTTGAACAAAATAAAAGACACATTGTGTGGAGTAGGGTGTCCTCTACTCCCCTTGGGACAGCTGGGGAAGCGGAGACTCGTAAAGGAGATGGTGTCCCGGAGACTCGTAAAGGAGATGGTGTCCCGATCATCCTGCGTGACAGGTGAGGGAGGACCACAGGACAGGGGCCGAATCCCACGCTGCTGTCTGTTCCCTACCCCAGCCTCCTCTTCTCTAGGACTCTTCTCCCAAGTATCTTTTTATCTTATGTCTGCCTGTTTTGGTTCTAAATTAGGAATCTCACTATGTAGCCCAAGCTGGCCCAAAACTTCAGCTCCTCTGTCTCAAAACACTGAGTGGTTGGGGTTACAGGTGGGTACCACCACACCCAGCTCCAGTTCTCAACATTGCTTTTTTTTTTTAATGGTTGTTTGATTTTTATTCCTTGAGACAACCTTACTATGTAGACCAGGCTGACCCCAAACTCAGAGAACGGCTACCTCTGCCTCCAGAGTGTTAGCATCAGAGAGGCATGTGTAAGCAGGCTCTGTCGTTTTGCGTTGGCTTTTAGATTTATTGTTTATTTACATGTGTGTGTTTGCATGTGTGGATGTGCACTGGAGTGCAGGTGCCTGTACAGCCTCCGTTAGGCTGGCCTATGGCCCAGCCCACTGCGAGCAGGGCCACCCCGGGCAGGTGGGTCTGAGTCCATAAGAAAACAGGCTGTGCAAGCCTGGAGGAGCAAGGCAGTACACAGAGTGCCCCTAAGAGCTCTGCTTCCGCTCCTGCCTCTGACCTCTCTTCATGTAAGCTGAAAGAAAGCCTTCTCCACCCACGTCATTTTGGTCATGGAGCTCCCCATGCAATGAAAAGCAAACTAGGATGCTGTTATTTAGTTTTGTGGGGGTTCTTGTTTTGTTTTGAGACAGGGGCTTGGTATCCAGCCCAGGCTGGCTACCAACTCATGTGGCCTATCTTTAGTTTGCTTCTTGGTTCTTTTTTTTTTTAATATTTATTTATTTATTATGTATATAATATTCTGCAGGCCAGAGGAAGGCACCTCATTACAGATGGTTGTGAGCCACCATGTGGTTGCCGGGAATTGAACTCAGGACCTTTGGAAGAGCAGGCAATGCTCTTAACCACTGAGCCATCTCTCCAGCCCTTCTTGGTTCTTTTTAAAATAACATTTGGTTTATCGTGTGTGTGAGTACCTGTGTGCAAGTGGGCATGTGCCAAGGCACACTTGTGGAAGCCAAAGAACAACTTTTGAATATCAATTCTCTTCTCCACCATGTAGGTCTTGGGGGAGAGAACTTATGCCATCAGACTTAGCAGCAAGCACCTTTTATCCACGAAGCTGTGACCCTTTAATACAGTTCCTCATGGTGTAGTGACCCCTAACCATAAAATTATCTTGTTGCTACTTCATCACTATAATTTTGCTACTGCTATGAATAGTAATGTAAATACCTAAGGGACACGGAAGGGGTCGCGACCAACATGTTGAGAACCACTGCCCTCCCCCACACCCTTGCCAGTCCAGTCCGTCATCCTGTCATCCTCCCCACCCCCACCCCACCCCCCCGCCCCGGCCGGCCGCCCCCCTCACTCCCTCACCCCCCCCACCCCGCAAGACAGGATCTCCTGTCCTGAACTCCAAACCTACTGGGTAGCTGGGATGATCTTACACTTCTAATCCTCCTGCCAAATGTTAGGATCATAGGCCTGCACCAGCACACCTGCTTAACTTAGCCGCTGAGCACCGTCCCCAGCCTGTGTCCCATTTCAATAACTATCATCTCTAAGCCAACTTAGAAAGCTGTTCAAACAACGTCTCTGAATAAAGAGCTGCTAGCATTCCCTCCAACTCAAGGCAGCCTGAGGAGCTGGTAGTGACTAGTGACATGCACACCCCACCTGCGCCTGTGGCATTGACTCTCTGCACGGCCACCTGACTCCAGGCTCCTGGAGCCGCCCCGCAGTCCAGCACCCGGAGACCAGGTCGCAGGATATGATGCTTCTCATTCATCTCCAGGAGCTTGAAGGCGCTTCGGCAGCGGTAACTCTCCACCTTTGCAGCCTTCACAAAGGGGTCCCTTAGATGGCGCTTCAGCCACAGGTGCTCCGCACCCGTCCGAGCTTTGTAGCGACACGCAGCTGTGTGGAATCTCTGAGCCTTAAGGGGAATGCCTACAAGCTTCGGGTACCTGTTGGCGAGAAAGGAGTTAGCAGGTGGACTTTACAGAGACGCAGGTAGGAGGTCCTGGTTCAACCTATTTTTTTTTATTTTTGCATAAGTACGTGCGGTATGCAGGCATGTGTATTAGTTCGCGTTTGCACATGTGTTTGCGAGTCTATAAGAACCCAAAGTTGGCAAGGGGTGTCCTTCTGGTTTGCTCCTTATCTTATATATTGAGGTAAAGTCGCCAACCAGCCAGTCTAGCTAGCCAGCTTGCTCCAGGGCCCGTCTCTGCCTCCCTAGCACTGGCGTCACATCTGGTCAGCACACAACCCCAGCATTCTGTGGGTTCCGGGCACAGCTTTATCCGCTGAACCATGTCCCCAGCCTATCCACTTATTTCCACGCAGAAATCTTCACTCACTCACGTCTGTACATGAACAAACACCGTGAACACGCGACTCGCATCCCGGGACAGAGGCTGCGAGTGCCCCTCTGCTGTCCGAGACACTGAGCTCCCGGCTACCGTCATCTACTTCACGCACGCACGCATGCATGCAGCAGGCGCCCTTTTAGTGCGGGAGGACACCATAACTCCACTCACCAAGCCATGGGTACTTGCTGGCGGTTTCCTCCCCGCCGCCGGAAGTCCCGCCCTTGCTTACAGCCTGAGGCCCTCCCCAGGAAGCTGTAGCTTGGGCGCGAAGGTATGGATGATTCTCGGTGCGTGGGAGCTGAGTGAGGGAGAGACGCGGGAGATCGTGGGTGCTGGGGTGCCGGCGGAGATCTGGGGAGGGAAGAGGGAGCAAGGACTAGGGAGATGCTTCAAGCCAGCCAGGAAGACTGGTGTGCTGGATAGACCTGAGGTCGGGGAGAACAGGGGAACTACAGACGGTAGGGAGCAGAAATCAGAGGGAAAGGGAACTTGGGACCTGGGGCTTGGGCGGTAAACTGGTGCAGAGGTAGTTTACAGCCAGGTTGCAAAGGCATAGATAGCCCCAGGAAGTGGAGGCTATGGAAGAACATTTGCAGAATGCCCCCTGCAGGCAGGTCTGAGTTCTGCACTCCTTGTGCGTTGCCTCCAACACTTGCCACAGTCGTCCTCAATTCAGACAAGATAGTTGTCTCCACCTCAGCCTCTAGCATATGTAAGCTCCGAGACGCATCCGATTTACCAGATAACAGCTACCTGAGCTGAGGGAACACTAAACAGACGTCCAGGACAGCCTGGTTTCCTTATAGGCTCGGCCGTTTGACCTCGTTCCAAATTTAGACCTTGAGCATGTTTTCTCTTCAGAAAATGTGAAAGTAAGTCTTACACAGTTCTGAGTCTTACTAAATGGAGCAGCTTTTGAAAACAAGGTTAATCGGGACTGGAGTGATAGATACCTGTGAAATGCTTGCTTCACATGCATGAGGCGTTTTCATAGCCAATGTGGCTTGCACCTGTAATCCCAATGCTGGGAGGCAGAGAAGCGGGGGTCCTTGGAGCAGTCTGGTCAGCTAGTCTTGCTGACTGCATGAGCTACAGGTTCCGATGAGAGACCCGTCAAGTGGTGGCTCACCAGCATCTGTAATTCCAGTTCCAGGGGAGCCAGTGCCCTCTTCTGATCTCTGTGGGCACTGAATGCACATGGTGCACAGACATACATGCAGACAAATTCTGATACACATGAATCAAATCTTTTTTAATATGAAAAAGTTAGGCAGAGAGCAACCCATTGTCAACTGTGGTCTTCACACAGAGGCAGGGACACACAGAAGGCCAATCAGCTATCTATATCTGTGGGCTCAGTATTAGACCAATTCAGTCAGCGAATCAAAAATATTCTCCAACCCCAATTAACCTTGTTTGGTAGAACCATCTCACTTAATAAACCTAACAACCGTGAGATATTTCCATTTACAGAGGGGAAAACAGTGTGGGGAGTCTATGTTTGAAACAATGTCAACCAACAGAACCATGAACAAGCCCATTCTCCTAGATTCCGATCTATATAGATTCTAATCATCTTTGTCCTACTGGCTAGCTTCATTGAGACAGGTAGCTGAACATGCTGGTGTATGCCTATCCTTCCAGGACTCGGGTTGTTGAGGCAGGAAGATTGGGAATCCAAGTCCAAACTGGGCTACATAGCATGACTCTGTCTCACTGAAGATCCTTACAAACAAACCACTCATCTCCTGAATGTGTGGCCATCTGTCATGACTCACTGCGTAAAAATTATTTACACAGTGTTTACGTTGCATTTAAAGTGAACTAGAGGATGTGTGTTGGTTATATGCAAATATGCCATATCATAGAAGCCATTTTACCATGCTTTAATTCTGGTATCCATGGCCAGGTAGGGGGTCTCCTGGTACCAGTCACCTGTGGATATGGAAAAACAGCTGTATATAGCTGGTACATATAAGAAAGATGGCTGACTTTGCTGTGTTAGGAAGCCAGGACCTCGGGCATGGGCAAGTCAGTGTCAGGAAAGGGACACAGGCCAATGCTAAGCACACTTCTGCTGCTGACCACCCTCATCACCAGGACCAAGTTTCCCTTTTTTTTTTTTTTAAAGTTGTATTGTTTTGTTTTGTTTGAGACAGGGTTTCTCTGTGTAGCCCTGGCTATCCTGGAACTCAGTCTGTAGACCAGGCTGGCCTCAAACTCAGATAATTGCTTAACCCCTGCCTCCTGCCTCCAGAGTGCTGCGGTTAAAGGCACGTGCCACCACTGCCAATCTCATGTTTTTAAGTTAACCTATATTGTATGAATATAGGCATTTTGTGTATATTTATATCTGTGCACTACGTTTGTGCCTGGTGCCAGAAGAGGCCATCAGAATTGGAGTTAGACCACTGTGAGCCACGATGGATACTGAGAATGGAATCCCAGTGCTCTGAAAGAGCAGCAGATGCTCATAACCAGTGACATTTCTCTAGCCCTCATCCAGGTCCCTTATACACTGTAACCTCTTAGGGATACTAAGGATTTCCCTCTAAGGGATACATTGCTGGATACTGCTTTAGTCAGTTGAGGCCAAGGAAAGGATAGAGCAATAAGAACTTTAGCCCAGGGGGTTGGGAAAATGGCTCAGTGTGTAGAGCACCTGCCTAGAATCCCCTAGTGAGGGACTGGGGTGTGGCTCAGTGGTACAGCATCTGCCTAGAATCCTCCAGTGAGGGACTGAGGTGTGTCTCGGTGGTAGAGCACCTGCCTAGAATCCCCTAGTGAGGGGCTGGGGTGTGGCTCAGTGGTAGAGCACCTGCCTAGCATCCTCCAGTGAGGGGCTGGGGTGTGACTCAGTGGTAGAGCACCTGCCTAGAATTCCCCAGTGAGGGGCTAGGGTATGTCTCAGTGGTAGAGTACCTGCCTAGCATGCTCAAAGTTTTGAGTTCCATTCCCTGCACTGAAAAAAAAAAAAAAAATGGGGAAGGGAGGGCTCAAAGGCATATTTGCCATCACCTGCCCTGGAAGCCACAGGGAATTTACGTTGTGGCTGGGGAATTACCAGTCAGCCTCATTTTCCACCTCTCCCAGCACACATCTCCCTCCCACCTGGCCACCACTCACTACAGCACACATTTGATGCATACCCTAACAGACCACAAGCCAAGCCGACCCAGTTTTCTGACCCTCTTCACAGGACCCAGGAGACCATGGGCACCTCCAGGCTCTACACCCTGGTGCTGGTGCTCCAGCCTCAGCGAGTTCTCCTAGGAATGAAGAAGAGGGGCTTTGGTGCTGGCCGCTGGAATGGCTTCGGGGGTAAAGTCCAGGAAGGAGAGACCATTGAGGACGGGGCTAAGAGGTGAGGAAAAGGGGAGATCTGACCACAGAGCCAGCTTGGCAGGGGGTGAAGACCTGGAGAGAGGAAATACCCTTGAAACCCAGAGTTGCTATGTAGACCAGGCTGGCCTTGAACTCACAGAGATCCACCTGTTGGATCTTTACTTTACTTCCAAAGTGCTGGGATTAACGTTGTATAACACCATGCCCAGCTTTTAAATTTTTAAAAGTATCTTTCTACATATTCCAGTTGTCCAAATCTTTCTGCTTCAGCTTCCCATGTGCTGGGATTATAGGTGTGCAATACCATGCCTGAATGTATGTAGTTTAATTCCTAAATTGGATGTAGTAACTCCTCTACATGATGTCCTCCTAGAATGTGCGGCCCATGGGTCCTGAGGCTACACTGCTATGGCCTTGTTCCTTGTAAGCATGGATGCTCATGAGCTAATGCCACTTCTTCCTTACTCACCTGCTGCAGGGAGCTGCAGGAAGAGAGTGGCCTGACAGTGGATGCGCTGCACAAGGTGGGCCACATATCATTTGAGTTTGTGGGTTCCCCCGAGCTGATGGACGTGCATATCTTCTCTACTGACCACGTGCACGGGACGCCCACAGAGAGTGACGGTGAGCCTTGGGCCCTACTCCCTCCTTTCAACCATGGGCAGGGAGGTGCACCCAGTCTCACTTACCTGCCAAGGAGAAGAGAGCCCTTGTCAAGTGTAGGCCCCAAGTCTACTAATGTTCCTCCTCTTTGCTTGTTCTCAGAACTAAGGACGGATAGGCAAAGCAGTCTTGTAACCCAAATATGAGTGCCACCCCCCTTTTTTTTCGAGACAGGGTTTCTCTGTGTAGCCCTGGCTGTCCTGGAACTGGCTCTGTAGACCAGGCTGACTTTGAATTCAGGCATGCACCACCACTGCCTTGCAAGCCCATTTCTTTTTTTTTCTTTTCTTTTCTTTTCTTTTTTTTTTTTTTTTTCTTGTTTTTTTTTTTGCTGGGGGTTTCGAGACAGGGTTTCTCTGTAGCTTTGTAAGCCTATCCTGGAACTCACTCTGTAGACCAGGCTGGCCTTGAACTCACAGAGATCTGCCTGTCTCTGCCTCTGAGTGCTGGGATTAAAGGCGTGCACCACCACCGCCCTGAGCAAGCCCATTTCTTTATTTCACAAAATATGGTACCCATATTGGTACATGCCTTTTTATCCCAACACTCGAGAGGAAAAGATAGGGATATCTCCGAGTTCAAAACCAACATGATCCACATTGTGAGAGCTTGTCTCAGAAGGAAGGAGGGAGGAGGAAGAAGAAGAAATAATAATAATAATAATGATAATAAAAAATAGTTGGGGTGTGGCTTAGTTGGCAGGATGTCTGACTACCTACCAAGGATAAGGTCCTGAGTTCCATTCCCAGCAGTGGCATGAACCAGGTTTGGTGTTACATGTCTGTAATCTTAACACAGGAGATTAGCTCTCAGTAAACAAACAAACAAGAAAGTAACCAGGTGTGGTGATGTAGGTTCATAATTGCAGTATCTGGAAGGCCAAGGCAGAAAGAGCGAATCTGAGGGCATATTGGGCTATAGAATGGATTCTAGGCCAGCCTGAGCTACATAACCCTTTCAAAACCAAGAGATGGTCATGAGGATGAGATAAAAAATTAGTCCAGGCTCCTTTCTCAGATAAGCCAGATACAGTAGTACACACTCATAATCCCAGCACCAAGAAAATTCAGGCAGAATTGCCATGAGTTCAAGACTATCCTGGGCTGCATACTGAATTCCAGGCCACCCAGAACTCCAAAGAAAGTCCCTTTATCAATGAAAGTAAAACAGAGCAAGCATAGTGGTACCACACCCCTGTAAACCAATCAGGAAGCTGAGGCAGGAGGATCACTACTTATTCCAGACCAGCCTGGGCTACAGTGTAGAAACCCTGTCTCAAAAAACTCCAGGGGATGGAGAGATGGCTCAGAAGAGCACATGCTACCCCTGCAGAGGACCCACGAACTTTTCCCAGTACCCATAACTCCAGTTCCAGGAGGTCCCATACCCTCTTCTGGCCTCTGTAGGCACTCTACATGCACATGGTATGTAGACAAAACACCCATACATAGAGAATAATTTTTATAAAATGTTTAAAGAGGAGAGACATTGGAGAGCTGGCTCAGCAGTTAAGATCACATACTGATCTTCCAGAAAACCCAAGTTTCGGGGGCTGGAGAGATGACTCAGTGGTTAAGAGCACTGGCTGCTCTTTCAGAGGTCCTGAGTTCGATTCCCAGCAACTACATGGTGGCTCACAACCATCTGTAATGAGATCTGGCGCCCTCTTCTGGTGTGTGGGCATACATGGAGGCAGAGTGTTGTACACTTAATAAATAAATAAATCTTTGAAAGAAAGAAAGAAAGAAAGAAAGAAAAAGAAAGAAAGAAAGAAAGAAAGAAAACCCAAGTTTGGTTCCCAGCACCCACACCAGGGGCTCCCAGCTGTCTAACACCAGCTTTGAGGAGATCCAAAGCCTCTGGCCTACTCTACAGGCACTTGCACTCAAGTGCCCACACCTACACACAGACATACATGCATATATGCAGTCAAAAATAAATATAAAATCTGTAAAAAAAAAATTTGGCAAGTAACAGCCACAACCAAAAAAAAATCCCAACAGCTGGAGATCTCAGTGGTTAAGAACGCGTACTGGTCGTCCAAAGGACCCAAGTTCAGTCTCCAGCACCCACACTGGGCAGTGGAGAACCAGCTCTATCTCCAGCTCCTCTCAGGCCTCCTCTGGCACCCACACACGTGGCATTCATTCATTCACACAGACATACTCAGATGCGTAGCAGATCTCTGCGTTCAAGGTCAGCCAGAGCTACATAGTGAGACCCTGTCTCAAACAAAACCAAATCTCCAAACAGGTGTTCACACAGACTCAGGGGGCAGTCCCTCTCAGGTCAGCTGAAATCCATGTTCAACACCAATGTTCTTCCTCCTCCCCATCCCCTACTCGAGACAGAAATGCGCCCTCAGTGGTTCCAACTCGACCAGATCCCCTTTGCAGACATGTGGCCCGATGACAGCTATTGGTTCCCACTCCTGCTCCAGAAGAAGAAGTTCTGTGGGTACTTCAAGTTCCAAGATCAGGACACCATCCTCGACTACTCGCTGCGTGAGGTGGATGAATTCTAATACGGACGTCTGGCCTGTTCTGGCCACATTCAGGTTGCTACACAGCCACAAGCTGTTGGTCCAAGGGCACCACAAGGAGGGGCTGGTATTTTCTATTGGAATGTGAAATGTCACTGATAGATTACTATGCCTGAATGTGAAATGTCACTGATAGATTAATATACTGGAATACTTTGTCTCCACCTACTGGTCCTGTTTTGGAAGGTTGTGGCATCGTTAGGAGGCAGAGCACTGATGGGTAACAGAATCACTGGGGGTCAGAGCTGTGGGATAGGCCTTAAGGTTTTATAGGTAGGTGTTGTAGAATATTATTTTAAGATGTATTACATTTGTTTATGCTGTGGAGCACTTGTTTTAATGATGCAAAGATGTGTTGCATTCTTTTATGTTTCATTTGCTTAACTCTGTGAAGCTGTGTTACTTTGCCTGTTTAAAACACCTGATTGGGGTCGGGCGGTGGTGGCTGCACGCCTTTAATCCCAGGACTTGGGAGGTAGAGGCAGGCGAATCTCTGTGAGTTCGAGACCAGCCTGATCTACAAAAGCTAGTTCCAGGACAGGCTCCAAAGCTACAGAGAAACCGTGGGGGGGGGGGGGGGGGGGGGATGACACCTGATTGGTCTAATGAAGAGCTGAATGGCCAATAGCAAGGCAGTAGAAAGGAAAGGTGGGGCTGGCAGGAGAAAGGAAGGGAAGAATAAATAGGAGAAAAAAGGCAAGAGGAGCAAGAGAGATCACGGAATGAGAAAGAAGGCACCAGCTACCCAGCCTGCCACAGAATAAGAGTGAAAGTAAGATTTCAGAAGAAAAGGAAAAATCCTGGAGAGAGACAAAAGATAGATGGGGCAATTCAAGAAAAGCTGGCTAGAAATAAGCCATCCTAAGGCTGGCATTTATAAGTAATAATAAGTCTTCGTGTATATTTATTTGGGAGCTGGGTAGTGGGCCCCCCCAAAAGATAATAAAAACAGGTAGGTCCCACTTCCTGTCTGCTCTCTGCTTCCTGATGATGTAACCAGCCACCTCATACTCTTACCGCTATGCTCCAAGTTGCTGTGTGATTACAGCATCAAGAAAAGTGGGAGCACAGGTGGCTGGATAGGAAAGAAATAGAGATTCCACCAGGCACTGGGACAGCCGCTACCTCAGACGGGGTGGACAGACACCAGAGGGTGGGGTGAGGACTCTTTTTATGCAAGAGCGTCAATCTGAATGGAAAACTCGAAGTTCTGAAATGTTTGGTGGGGGCAGGATGCCAGGCAAGAGCAGGCATCCAAAGAAAACTGAGGAGATTAGGGTGCCAGGAGAGAGGCTAGAGCCATGGGTCTCAAGAGGCAGAGGGTAGTGGTGTCCAAGCATTCCTCTCCAAGCAGTTGGACGGCCAACCAGGACCTGGACTCCACCTATGGGCTGAACTAGGAAGAGAATCCTGAACAGTATGAGGGTGGATAAAGCAAGCCTAGCATGGGCATCTATGCTGTGATCTATTTTCTGCCTATCTGGATGCAATGTGCCCAGCTGGTCTTACATTATGAGCCTCCCCTCCCCAAAAGTGACAGACTGCATGAGCTAAAACAAACCCGTTCCCACTACCTTGCTTGCTTTTGTTGGAGAATTTTATCCCAGCAACAGGAAATAAACTGAGCTCATCTGGCAAAGAAACGACTCCTCAGAGCCTGACCTAGTAAGCCAGTGAGCTTAGTGGGGTTACTTACAGGAGTGTGGGCGAGGGCTTAGGTCACAGAAGAGCCGACCACAGCATGGGCTAGGACTGAGCCGCAGCCCTGAAGTTCTACACTATGCAGGGGGCTCGACAGGCCAGCATCTACTTCCATTAGCAACTGGCACTGTGGGCACCGTTGCAGGGAGGGGACCTTGTGAACCATGTGCTTTTCAGGTTTCTCAAACTTGCAAATTTTGCAGATTTTCTGGGTCTGAGGAGCCTCCCTCCAGGAGGAAGCAATGCTTCTATATCCAGGAAACTCTCATACGACACTACCCCACAGGGAACACCAGGCTAGGGGCAACTGCCCATCCCGAAACTTAGACTCTAAGAACATTTGACCATGTTCATGGGGCTTTGTGGAGAGAAATGGCAGCATGGAGACCATCTGTAAACACTTCCAGTTTATTGGGTGTGGCAGTAACTGATTCCCGCAGTCCATAAAGTGCTTCATTCATCGAGCCAAGTCCCACAGCACCAGCTTCCTGACTCCCTTAAAGTCCCCACAGAAATGTCCCGAAGCCCTGCTGCCTCTGCCTTGCCTCTTAAGCCAGGCAGGCTAACACTGAGTGGGAAGCACCCAAAGGCATTCCCTTTGCTCCCACTGTGCTGGCCCCAGACTATCCAGTTAAGGCTGAAGCTGACCCCCTGCTCGGCCCAGGAAAAGGGGGAGGTGGGAGTTCCATCGATGCTTGTGCTTCCCGTCTTTCTGGCAGCCCCAAGCATGGCTGTGGTGTGGCACACAGGCTTGGGCAGCAGGATGCCAGAGGGGTGCAGAGACTCTTGGTTCTCTTGCACCCAGGGGAATGACTATGTGAGAGAAGGCAGGCCCTAGCGCCAGGCTGAGGGGCTAGAGCACTAAAAGCACGGGGTAGGGGTGGGGAGTGCACTGGAGCGGCAGAGCGGACTGGTAAGGAGGCAGTTCACATCCAGGTGGAACCCACTGCCTGACAATCTGGGGGGACGTGACCCACACTCTTGACCCTGAGGCCTGGGCACCCATCAGGGATGCCCATCTCCAGTGCTTCTCCACAACCCCCCCTCACTCCCACCCTCCAAAACCTAACACAAGAAAGGACCCTGAGCCCTCCCATGGTGCACCTCGAGAGGCTTTGGATCAGGGCTCCACAGACAGCACTGGAATGAGACATTTCCTCCAAAGCACCAAACCACTGGGCATCAAACTTCCCACCTGGCCTCTAATACACTTCCCAGGCCCTCATCTGCCATCACAGTCCCATCCTCAGAGACCGGCCAGCTCCTGGCCAGATCACAGGGCAGGCCAGGCCTCCCACCTCTTTGCTGCTAGGTTAACCCCTAGGCTCTCCCAGCACTTGGTGACCCTTTGCACTGTGGGCATTGGGCACAATCCCTTCCAAAGCACCCTAATTTCCCAATACTGACCCAATCAACAGGTCATGGGGCAGGCTAGGGGCACATAGATCTCCTGTCCAGGAGCAGGGAGCCACTCGGCAAAGACTACCAGCACAGCCCACAGGCAGTTCAGGGCAGTGGCTGCTGCCTGGAGGAAATCAGCCAGGGACACACTGTTTGCAAAGAGGTTTTAGTGAGGCCACAGGGAGCTCTGCTGTGGGCCTTGCTACTAGTGGGAACACACGCCATCCTCCTGCGGGGAGCGTGGTGGTGTCAGCACACTGTGAGGTCCAGCAAAGAGGCAGCTCAGCTTCGGTTTCAGGTCATTCCACACCTTGCTCATCTGCAAGAGGAAGACAGGACGATGAGGTGGGAGGTCATCTGGTGGCGAGGACAGGAGGGCACTCACATTACGTTTCCTCACATACCAGGCTCCACAATCAGAGCTGAGTGTAGGCAAATCACCCCTATTCTCGCAATGTTGACCCACCCCCCCAAAGGCTCAGATAGATGGGTTATGAGTTCCAGACTAGCCTGGGTTACAGAGTGATACCTAAAAATCAAAAACAGAGCTGGGATATAATTTAGGGTTTGAGAGATTACCAAACATACACAAGAACCCAAGTTTGATCCTCAGCACCCCCATACCAAAAAAAAAAAAAAAAATCTAGTAATTGCTATACAACAGAAGATGATCCTCTTGCCTCTATCTCCCAAGTACTGGGATTATAAATGTGCAGTGCTGTAGCTGGCATATGCAGTACTGGGGGTGGAACCCTGGCTTTGTGTACATTAGGTGAGCCCTCTACCCACTGTGCAAGCTACTGGGCAGGCTAAGTACCAGGAACTCTAGCCAAGCAGAACTTCTGCCTGAACCACTGAGACTTCTCACCCAACATGGACAGTCCAGCCACTATGTATCCCCCAAATCTCACATGTTAATGCCCCCCTGGCATACCTTTGTATGTTCCCTGATGGCAGGGACTAGCTGGAAGGAACACAGCCTCTGCCCATCACCCATCATTGCTGCCAAGCAGTGACAGTTCTATCGATATGTAACTATGACACCCAGGCCAACATTTAGAAACTAGTGGGATTGTAACTGTTTGCCATTTTTCAGATCTTGGAACCACACAGGTCACAAGAGTATCTGCCTGGCATGCATGGTCCCTGGGTTTGGATCCCCAGTACCACATAAGCCAGGTATGTGACATCCAGGAGGTAGAGGCAGAACATCAAAAATTCAAGGTCAAGTCTTAAAAAGGGCTTGGCAAGTAAAGATGCTTACCGCCAACCTGATGACCTCAATTCTGTCCCTGTAACCAACATAGAACAGATAACCAAATGCCCTCCTCGAGGGAGGTGAGGCTCCCATAGACAGCAGGAGGCAGCTGGGTACCAGCTAGGGAAGATGGGTGTCTATGTGTGAGGGGCTACATGGGGCTAGAAAAGCAGATGTGATCAAACTAGCCCTCCAAATTCTAACCAGAGAGAGTGACTCCATCTTGCAGCAAGCCACCATTTAGACACATGCCAGGCTGAAACCAAATAGGCTGTCTCTCCCTCCCAAGGCTGGACAATGTTTTCTAGACCAGCAGGATTCTGATAGGGTAAGGACAGAACACACACAGACACAGAACTCCTGCTGGCTCTGACTGTAGCGAATGTTTTCTGAGTCAGTGGTCACCTCTGCTGCTTTGACATTAGTGCTCTGAAGCCAGATTCCACTGTAAACTCAAAGCCATATAAAACAAAAACTTAGGAGGGATAAAGTGATCTCCATGAAAATCTGAGTTTGGATGCACAAGTAAATGTCAAGTGGATGAGACAGCCTACACGGAAGGGAGACAGAAGATGCCCTCAGCAAGCTGGCTAGTTAACCTAGCAGAATCGGTGAGTTCTGCCTCAATACATAAGGTGGGAAATGATCCAGGGAGACTGCCCACATCAACCCATGACCTCCACATGAATGCATATATGCCAATTCACATGCAAACATTCATACATACATGCATACACAACACATATGCACACAAAAAATAAAAACAGCAACAACAAAAAAGTGATAGAAAAGAAAATGTCCCTG